CTCAGCTGCAGCTGCCAGTTCCGGTGTATCTCCACTGCATCATCCGAGCCACGGGGGCTGCCTGCCTGCCGCTGGCCCTCCCCCGCAGCAGCAGCAGCAGCAGCAGCAGCAGCGGGGAGCTGCTGATCGACAGCGAGGCCGCGCTGCAGGGGCTGCTGCTGCGGCCCTTCGACCTCCACCGCTGCTGCTGCCCCCAGAGGCCCTGCCAATGTGACCAGCAGCACATTGAGACTTTGCTGCTGCTGCTGTCAGCAGTTCTTCTAAACACGAAAAGTCGTGCAAAGTCGGGGCCCCCCGAGGGGGCCCCTGAGGGGGCCCCCGGGGGACCCCTCTCTGCGCAAATGCAGCTGCTTTCCCGCATCTTCCCGGGCATGCAGCAGCAGCAGGAGCAGCAGCAGCAACAGGAGCAGCAGCAGCAGGAGGAGAAAGACTTGGAGCCTATGAAGGAGGATGGGAAGCACGGGGGCAGCGGGGTGGCCCGGAGGAACAGCAGCAGCAGCAGCAGCAGCAGCAGCACATTGCCGAGCAACGGCTCTCCCCTAACCTGCTCCCCCAGCACAAGTCCTGAGGTTTTCCTTCCTGCGAGAGCAGCAGCAGCAGCAGCAGCAGCAGCAGCAGCAGCAGCAGACACGGACTCGCCCATGACGCTGCAGCTGCCTCCGCGCCAAGGATCCCCAACAACGGAGGAGGAGCAAGCACCCAGCAGCAGCAGCAGCAGCAGCAGCAGCGGAGGCGGCTTGAGCGAGTTGCTGAACAGCGCGCTGCTGAGCACGATGCAGGTGCTGGGCCCGGCGAGCTGCGCGTTGCTGCAGCAGCAGCTGCTGCAGCAGCAGCCGCAGCAGCAGCCCGCGCTGCTGCTGCTGCCCCACAGCCTCCCCTACAGCAAAATGCTGTTTCTGGTCCCCCCGCTGCAGTCGCTGCTGCACACTTTGGTGCAAATTATAGTGTACAGACACTGGGAGTTTGTCCGCAGCTACATCGAGGCCCTTTGCCCGGCCCCACAGGCAGCTGTGCTGCTGCAGCTGCACGCCTGTTCCCTCAGGGGCCAGCCCCCTGCTGCTGCTGCTGCTGCTGCTGCTGCTGCTGCGCCTGCTGCTCGGCGCGCCCATGCAGCCCCCGCAGCAGCGGCACAACCCGCCGCCGCTGCCCACAGCGTTCGAGCTGCTCCCGCCGACCACTGCAGCAGCAGCAGCAGCAGCAGCAGCAGCAGCAGCAGCAGCAACCTGGCAGTGACCCAGGGGGTTGACGGCGCAGAGATGAGTGCAGAGCCGCCTCGTGTGTCTGCAGTGTCTTCCGTATCATCAGCAGCAACAATGACCACGGCCCCAATGGCAGCAACAGCAGCAGCAGCAGCAGCAGCAGCAGCAGCAGCAGCAGCAGGTGTGTCCTAGACTTCCGTGAGACTGGCCTTCAGCCAAGTTCCTCCCGTGGCTCTCAAGTGGGCAGAGCCCCTCGCACTTCAATTCCTTCAGTTCTCCGCAGCTAGCCACAGCTAGCTGTGGCCAGCTCTGGCTAGCTGTGGCCAGCTGTGGCTAGCTGTGGCTACCTATAGCTAGCTGTAACTACCTATAGCTAGCCGTAGCTGCCTATAGCTAGCTGTGGCTAGCTGTGGCTAGCTGTGGCTAGCCGTAGCTACCTATAGCTAGCTGTGGCTAGCTGTGGCTAGCTGTAGCTACCTATAGCTAGCCGTGGCTAGCTGTGGCTAGCTGTAGCTACCTATAGCTAGCTGTGGCTAGCTGTGGCTAGCTGGGGAGCTCCGCAGCTGGCGGCTAGCGCTCCTTAAGAAGCATCTTGGATGGCTAGCTGGCCCAGCGCCGTCTCCGCTGGCTAGGTGTGAGGCCCCCGCAGCTAGCTAGCTGCAGCTAAGGGCTAGCTAGCTGCAGCAAGTGGCTAGCTGGCTGCAGCAGGTGGCTAGCTAGCTGCAGCAGGTGGCTAGCTAGCTGCAGTTAAATGCCAGCTAGCTGCCCTTCAGCCGCACGCACGACCAGCTAGCTGGTTGTGTCTGGCTGGCTAGCTGCTCCCTCACCCAGCTAGCTGCTGCGCCTGGCTAGCTGCTGTGCCGCACAAGCTAGCTAGCTAGCTGGCTAGCTGCTGCGCCTAACTAGCTAGCTAGCAGGCCAGCCCGCCAGCGGGCTAGCTAGCTAGCTGCTGTACCGAACTAGCTAGCTAGCTAACTGGCTAGCTGCTGCGCCCAACTGACTAGCCAGCTAGCTAGCTAGCTAGCTGGCTAGCTAGGCCAGGGAGTTGGGGTCTAGCCAGCTAGCTAGCTAGCTAGCCAAGAGAATTTTCTAAGGCCGTTTGGGTGGCTAGCCAGGAGCTTGGCTAGCTGTTCCTGTCGGCCCTCTGGCTGCTTCCTAGTCAACGGCCCAACGACTGATTTTTCTTTCCGTCAGTTCTTCGTCATATTTGCTGCTGCTGCTGCTGCTGCTGCTGCTTGTGTTGCTGCGGCGGGCACTGGCTGCATGTGCTGCGCGCCTGCTTGCCAGCCTGTCTCGGAGGAGCTGCGCGGCCTTCTGGGGTTTAGGGTTTAGGGTTTAGGGTTTGGCCTGGGCTGCCACAACCCCAGCTAGCCACCAGCAAACAGCTAGCTAGCCACAGCTAGCCACTGCAGCACAGAAACTCATATGCGCAGCCCCCTAGCCTCTGACTAGCTGCAGCTAGCCACAGCTAGCTGTGGCGAGCTCTGCTGCAGCAGCTGCAGCAACAGCAGCAGCAGCAGGCAGCGCTTGTCCACTGCAGCCATTTGCTGCCTGGGTATTGAGAACGTGAGTTTGAGTGAAAGGAACAAAAATGCATTTCATCCAAATTAAAAAAAACAAATTTATGTTTCATTTAAATTATAAAAGCTCCCCAAGAGGCACCAAGAGCTGCTGCTGCTGCTGCTGCTGCTGCTGCTGCTGCAAATAAAGATGCAGAAGACATTACGAGTTTAAGGCTGTTTGGGGTGTACCTACACTCGGAAAAAGCGGAGAAGAGCCCTCGGGGTCCCATTTGTTTCCACTTTAAGTTTAAAAGTGTTTAAAGTGTAATATTTATATTTAAAACTAAAATTGGTTAATTCTAGAGGGTTTGACGGCGCGGGAGTCAGGCTGGGCTCCCCAGCAGCAGCTCTGTGCTCCCGGGGGGCCCCCCGCTGCTTCTGCCGCTGCAGCAGCAGCAGCTGCTGCTGCTGCAGTGTGCTGCCGCGCGTTTAAACGAAATAAAATGAATAATAAAAAGGAATTTTAAATTAAAAATGAAAACAAACTTGAAACAGAGCCGCTTTGACTCAGCAGCTGAGGGCCCCAGCAGCGCGCCGCGTTTGCTGCTGCAGCCCCCTGCTGCTGCTTGGCCCGAGCCCTGGAGAGCAGCAGCAAGTAATTAAAGGCTGTAATTTTGGAGTTGTCTCTCGAGTAGCAGCAGCAGCAACAGCAGCAGCAGCAGCAGCAACAGCCGCATTAAGCAGCTCGGGAGCCGCTGACTGGCAGCACTTTGCGTCTGCAGTTATTTCTTTGGTTTTCTTTTCTTTTAATTTTCTTTTTTTCCTTTAAATTCCCTTTTTGCATTTTTGCTGCTCATTTCCTTCATCTTCATGAAGAGCTGCCGCTTCGCGGGCCTCGCCTTCCCTCCTCCTCCTTATCTGGAGCAGCAGCAGCAGCAGCAGCAGCAGCAGCAGCAGCCGCAGCAGCACTAGCAGCAGCAGCAGCACTAGCAGCAGCAGCAGCATCCTCTCCGCGGGTCCCTCGCGAGCAGCAGCCCGGCCTCTGGACCCCACGGAGCAGCAGCAGCAGCGGCGCCAGCGGCAGCAGCAGCAGCAGCAGCAGCAGCAGCAGCGCGCGTTGCTGCTGCTGCTGCAGCCGGGCGATGGCTTCGCGGAGGCTGGTGGCTTACCCCGAGGCGAAGCGGCTGACGAGAGCAGCAGCAGAAGAGTCTGTTTTTCCTGCTGCAGTAAATGTCGATTTGCTGCGGCTCGGAGACACTTGTGGGGTTTGTCTCGGGGACTTCAGCGAAGACGGGCCTTTTCCCGAACCCAAGACGCTCCCTGCTGCTGCT